AAAACCGGTGAAATATCGGGTGGTGTGTACTTCCGAATGTCCAGCAATTCGTCTCTGGTGAAACTGATTGCAGGGATATAACTAAAGACAGGACAAACTAACAAAAACATAAAAACAACTGCGGAGCACGCCACGGAGGCAGCCATCAGCGTCGGCGCCATCGTGCAGATAACGCCATTGTCACTATGTCGATGTCTTGCTCCAAAATGAGCCGTTTTTGGAGCTTGATTAAATAAATGTTTTGTTTACAGTGAGGATGGCGTCTTAAGCTATGAAACTTGGAGGATGTTTTAATGGTACAAAGACCTCTTATATGCCAAAAGATCAAGGCAAATTTGATTTCTCATGTCATGACCCCTTTAAAACTTATAAAGAGATATAGAAAGTCAATCCATGTTTGTAACCATATTTTCATGTCTATATGTACCTGAAATACATGGCTGTCATCACATCGATACCAGTTTCCATAATCAGATTTGATGTTAGTATTATAGTGTCCATCTTCCAATGTACCATAAAGGTTTATTATGGCAAACAGGTCATAGCTGTGGGAGGAAACCTGTCAGGAACAGAGGAATCATGTTTATCGTGTCCATTAAACATTATCAAATACAAAACCAGTCATAAGGGTACATTTTTTTTTGTAGTTTTTTTTTTTAGATTGAATAAATAATCTTTCCATTGATGTATGGTTTGTTAGGATCGGACAATATTTGAAAATCTGGAATCTGAGGGTGCAAAAAAATCTAAATATTGAGAAAATCATCTTTAAAGTTGTTCAAATGAAGTTCTTAGCAATGCATATTACTAATCAAACATTACGTTTTGATATATTTACTGTAGGACATTTACAAAATATCTTCATGGAACATGATCTTTACTTAATATCCTAATGATTTTTGGCATAAAAGAGAAATGTATAATTGTGACCCATACAATGTATTGTTGGCTATTGCTACAAATATCCCCCAGCGACTTAACACTGCTTTTGTGCTGCAGGGACACAGATGATAGTCATAGAGAGAGTGTGATTGTCTACATGTGTGCAAAACATCAAAAGCAAGTATTCTGGATATGCACATCAACAACACTGATATGTTTGTAATTGTTTTCATTATCTTGTTTAAATATACTGTTATCTATTGTTTTTACAGTTGTTTCATGTTCAGTGAATGATTGTTACAAGCTCGAGTTCTTTCATTGGCACTGAAGGCCTGTGGATCACAGAAGGACACGAGCGTTTAACCTCCTCATTAAACTGTCCTGACTAATTATAAAAACATCAACACCATAATACTTAAACATTAATCATCAACATTCAGCAAATATGCACACAGAAACACATGCTGGGCGAGCACTGCTTCTGTTACAGACACTCAACCACTGTAATGCTGAATTACCTCAGTTTGTGCAGGAATTCTCAGGTTGTTGTAATTTTTGACGTTCCTTAATCGTAGAATCAGTATTTGTGGAAAGTCAACATCACTTCTCTGAAGGGACAACAAGGGTATCATTTCTCTATAATATATTTACATATTTTGTTTTATTTTTGTGGATAAATAATCATGCACGATCAGAGGCTTGTCTAAACTCAGTGATTTTAGTGACCAATGCCGTACAAATGACTCCTGTGCAGAACTTTGAAGGGGACATTTCTCATTTATGTTTTTATGGAGTTTACATATTGCTGTTGTAAAGTTAGCAGGCCTGTCTAATTCATCTATAGTTCCACAGTAAATCTCAGCTGAACTGAACTCTAAACACATCAGACTTGGAGAAGATACTTGCATTTGCCTTGGTTTCTCTGTGTGAACAGCGACTGCAGCTTACAGAAGATGCACGCATTTGATCAATGCGTGCCTTCAAAGCAAAGCCCTAAACGATCAAAGAAGACAATCACAGTGAATACTGAGAGACATTTTAGTCATTGGTCTGAAGATGATCTGAGACAATTTTCCAAAATGCAGTCCTTCCACAATGCAAGAGGAAACAGCAATGTACTTACCACATCATTTGATTCTCTAAGAGAGATGTTCATTGTGAAGAAATCACTCTGTTCTGATATCCTTTGGTTGCACGAATCACATCTACCAGTTTTCTCCATAGTGCCCTTAAAAATCTACAGTGTGAAGACAAGACTTTATTAATAATCTTAATTGTCAAGTCAGGATTTGCCAGGTCAATTGGTTTTACAGATATATTAATTATAACATCAGGGCAGCTTTAAAGTGACCATTATCTGCATCATACTATGCTTTAGACTCTTATGTGTTTCATTGTTTTATTTCTGAACAAATGGTTAAATTGAAATCGTTAGTGTTTAATCTCTGCACCTCACTGTCATGTCAAGCTTCTCAAACTAATTCACAACATCACCTCAGAGCCTTAAACACTGCAGACTTGTGTTTTCATTCAGATGCTCTATCGGTCAAATGTCCTTGTGTAATGTGAATCAGAAACGTATGTACACACATTTAGTTAATGCCATCCAGTAGCTTACTAATACAAACATTTCTTAGAAACAGTCATAATAAGAAACTGCTGTAAATATTCGCCATCAAAAGTGTCAGAATAAAGAGAATATTCACCTCAGATGGTCCAGGAGTCTTGCTCAGAATCAAACAGAGATACTCTGCTGCATCTTTGTGTTTATAAACTGGAAGCATATAACAAACATATACATAAACAGCTAAATAACATTTATTATCTGCTGGAAATTAATAAAATGTCTTTCAGACACCAACCATCAGTGATGCCCAGGCTCCTTGAGATCCCAGCTGTTGAAACTGGACGAGACTCTTTGTCTAATTTATCAAACAGTGACTTCAGCTCTTCAATGAAGTCACCATCAGAGGAATCATCTCTACTCTTCATTCTAAATATTAAAAGATATCACATGTTCAGTGTGATAATCACAACAAAGCAGAGCCAGTGGGAGTGATTTCTTTACCTCATAACACGTTCCCTGTACTCCTGCGTCATGTAGAGGGTTTGCAGGACGGCGTTCGAGTAGCTGGTGGCTCCTTGATTCATCAACCCACAGTATGCTTAAACGAGGAACTTAATGTTAGTAGTCCATATGGCTCTAGCTCTGTCAGATCTTTTTAAGTGTGAATTTAAGTTTAAAGTTTTAAGGTCTTTGAATCCACATTCACATGACTTAATGACATGATGTTCAATTAAATAACTAAATACTGTACACTTCAAGCTAAGCTTGATTTTATGAACTGTTGTTTTGTGAACAACAGCTTGAAGAAAATCTTTGAAGCGCAAGTTAAAGTGATGATTTTATAATGAGACAAACATCTGAAGGAAACTTTACAAGAAACAAGTTTACATTGTGACGGTTAATCATTCGCATCAAAAATGTGTGAATGTGTCATAAACTGTTCTGAAAGTAATCATAACACTTTCAGACCTACGTCTGAAAAGACAACATCTTTGTGAATTTGTGTTCATTTATAATGGTGTATTCCTGATGTTTCAATCATCACGTTCTTATTTGTGTGTGCTTGATGTAGAATCATGTTTAATGTGAAGTATAATTTGTTGACTTATGTGTTTGTATAGTTGTCAGTGTCAGAGATGAATGATGTCAGTGTTGATTATTGATTTACTTTTTTTCTCTCATATGATTAATACAATCAGTGATTTTATTTTTTAAGAGAGTGAATCAATAAATAAAAAAAAGACTTACCCATAACAGATCTGTTCCTTCCCTGAAAGAAGCATTTGATACTCATTAACAACATTAGATTATGAGGCACATTATGTCTAAGATGAGAAGTGATCTATTAATTTTTGTTCAGCTTTACCTCTGTAGTGACTCTGATGACGTCACTGTATACGGTGTAGTCGAGTTTCCCCAGCGCTGCACATTTGATCTCATACTCAGTCTCTGCTCTCAGATCAGTCAGAGTAACTGTGTGTTGATTCTTCATCACAGGTTTAGATGTCCAGACTGAGTCTTGCTTCAGTTTATACAGTAATCTCAGTTCCACTGTAGCAGAACACACTGGAGGAACCTTCAGAACCACAGTGTTTTCTGTGACCTCTTCAGTGACTGGACAGACTGGTTTGGATGGAGGAATAAAGCAAACAGCTTCATCACATCCATGTTCATACAGCAGAATACAGGAGCCAGGATTATTCTTAATCTCTCTTGAGGACACAATGAACATGTCTGATTTACAGTAATTTGAATTGATCAATTTCTTAAATATCTCCAAGTTGCTTTTCATGTTCTTTTGGATCTCAGGAGTGAGCCAAGTCTTTTGCTCTGAATCAGGGCAGTTCACATCATTTTCTCCTTTTGCTGAAGGATTCAGATAGGTGGTTTGTTTAGGAAGGAGCACATCTGTCCAGTTCAATGGTGTGAACGTGTAACAGACCAGATTTCCAACTTCCAGATCCATCCAGATGACATCTAGATCATCTTCTACCTGTGCACCAGCATCCTTCAGCTGTCTGAGGACTGATTTAATGATTTTAGACTCTCTTTCTCGCTCTTTCAGCCATTCTGCCAGGTCTCGTCCTCTGAATGGAGATCCATCATGTTCTTGTAGAAGATCATTCAGTGCTGTTTCCTTCATCACGTCTCCACGGATGTTTGGCAGCAGAGAGCCGAGTTTCTTCATGAGTCTCAGCTTGTATACATAGCAGTTTTGCTTCATTTGCTGTATTTTATCACAAAATTCAGCAAAAGTTGAAGCAGGTGAGTCTTTCAGAAGAAGATCACTGCATCTCATCTCAGCTGTATTTAAACTCTCAATCACTGATTCAGTTTTAATAATGAGATCCATGCTGATATCTTTCTGAAGTTTTGAAGCTTTCGAGTGAAGTTTGTCCAGAGGATAAAGCCAAACTCTCAGAGGAACCATCAGCTCTTTCTTTTCTCCCAGCAGTTTTGGAAGATCAGTGAAAACCTTCAGCGCATCTTTAAAAGAGGTCGGGTTCGACGGTAACTGGAAATCACCATAAAATGTGCATGTGAATTTCTGGACTGCATTCTTCTGAGCTTCATCCATCTTCAGACTGATGTTTGCATCACCTGAAATGAATTTGAGTTTCTCAAGAGCCACTTTTGCTTCTCCTTCTACTGTACTTTTGTTCTCATCTGCTGACACTTCTCTGTCAAACACAAAGCAGGCGTCTGCTCCATACAGCACTGCTGTCACCACGTGTGTCGCTGCATCATTATCAAACACATCATGATAAACTATATTTTCAGAAGCCAAGTGGTTCATGGTCAGTTCTTCAAACCTGCTGGTGGAGTGATAATGCAGCGTCAGTCTCTGCTGTCTGAAAGACTTCTTGGTGTCGTTGAGATATTTGGCTGCTCCTGTCACATTGATCAGTCCACCTAAAAGACTGAGTTTCAGAGAGCCGTCGATGTTCAGTAAGCTGGATTTGTCCTCAATGGAGTCTGAAGCAGAGACTTTGAAATCAGTGTTAATTTGGGGATGGGTTCGTATGCTCTCCTTGAGCTTTTCTGGATCCCACAGTGTGATTCCTGTGTTAGAAATAAAAAGGGTTTAATACAGTAGAGTCATTATTTATGTCTATAAGCACAACACTGATGAACGAGATGCAGTGTCATTTTGATATGAACACACTGCAGGACTGTGCTGTAAAACTCATGTTTTCTGATGAGTCTATATAATTGTTCTTTGCCCACTTACAGCAATGCAATAAATTAAGAAACAATGCAGAATTATCAGCATGTGATGCGGTGATGGAATTATTCACTGCTGATATAAGCTACAAAGCTTTTGCCCTGCCATGCCCTGAGCACACAGAAACGTACTTGGTTCCCTGAGATACAGGAACGAGTACTGCGTCTTGCTTAAGACGCTATGGGAAAAAGCAATTTTTCCTCCTGAACTAAAGCCTTTTTTCAATCACGCAGTGAAACTGCACGGCCATTGGTTCATGCAGTGTATTAAAAACGAATCAATGGTTCGGCAGCGGAGCTACACGAGCCTATGGCGACGAAGCCCGCCAAAGCCCGCCAGAATGGGCGTGGCATATAAGCAGGCGTTCGCCACAGTTGTCGCTTCAGTCAAAGTAACCTGAGAATCCTGAGTCGTGCAGCTACATAGCATGGCTAGCAATGCAGTACTCATTCACTAACAGGTGAACTAATGCCAGAGAACTTGAGCGTGATACGGCCAAGGGCTCTCTGCCAAATTTGTTTCAAGCGGAAAGGACCCTGGCCTGCAAGGCCGGGACTGCCAGGTTATAAAACCTTGTGAATGTGGACGACAAGGGCCCAGCCGGCCGCCTCACAAATATCCGCAATGGACACACCACTGGACCATGCCCAAGACGAGGCGATGCCTCTAGTCGAGTAGGCCTGTACTCCAATGGGGCATTGAAGGCCCAAAGGAGAGTACACTAGCGAGATGGTTTCATGCAGTGAATAAAAACCAAACAAAGGGTTGGGCAGCGGAGCTACGGGAGCCTATGGCGACGAAGCCCGCCAAAGCCCGCCAGAATGGGCGTGGCATATAAGCAGGCGTTCGCCACAGTTGTCGCTTCAGTCAAAGTAACCTGAGAATCCTGAGTCGTGCAGCTACATAGCATGGCTAGCAATGCAGTACTCATTCACTAACAGGTGAACTAATGCCAGAGAACTTGAGCGTGATACGGCCAAGGGCTCTCTGCCAAATTTGTTTCAAGCGGAAAGGACCCTGGCCTGCAAGGCCGGGACTGCCAGGTTATAAAACCTTGTGAATGTGGACGACAAGGGCCCAGCCGGCCGCCTCACAAATATCCGCAATGGACACACCACTGGACCATGCCCAAGACGAGGCGATGCCTCTAGTCGAGTAGGCCTGTACTCCAATGGGGCATTGAAGGCCCAAAGGAGAGTACACTAGCGAGATGGTGTCTACTATCCATCTAGAGAGTCTTTGCTTTGTGACCGGAAGCCCTTTGATGCTTCAGTTACTGAAGCTGACAAAGAGTTGTTCCGACCGCCTATAAGGGGTGGGACGCTCAATGTAGATTCTCAGAGCTCTGATGGGGCAGAGCAGATATAACGCTCTGTCCTCTTCAGAGGGAGGAAGCGCGGACTGCGTAATGACCTGTGCTCTGAACGGAGTGGAGAGCACCTTAGGTACGTAACCGTGCCTTAGTTTTAAGAACGACTTTAGAGTTGTTAGGCCCGAATTCCAGACAGGCAGGGCTAATGGAGAGCGCCTGCAGGTCCCCTATTCGCTTTACTGATGCCAGAAGCAGAGCAGTCTTCAGCAATAGCGACCAAATGTTGGCAGACTGTAGTGGCTTGAAAGCAGGGCCCTGAGCACAGTGGGCAGATCCCATGAAGGGACGGTAGGGGGACGAGGCGGATTCAGCCTCCTGGCCCCTCTTAAGAAGCAGATAACCGCGCTGTTTCTGCCCACCGATTGGCCCGCAATAGGGGCATGAGAGGCAGCTATAGCCGCCACATAGACTTTGAGCATGGATGGAGAGCGCCCCCTATGCAGCAGCTCTTGCAGAAATGACAATACCTCTGTCAAATTGGAAGTATGATGGTCTTTGCCATGGTTTAGACACCAAGCGGAGAAAAAAGACCACTTAAAGGCGTAGATCCCGTCTCAGCGGAACGGGCCAAGGGGCCGCTACCAACAGCTGAGTTGGCTCTGATAGCCACAGCTGGTTCATCCAAAGGGGGGCCACCAGGAGAACCTTGTGTTTTTGTTCCTTTACTCGCTCTAAACCGTCTGCGGATGGAGGGTCCACTCCCCTGAGCGGACATTGCTCCTTGATAACATGTCCTCTCCTTGGTTCAATTTGCCTGGTATATGCGCTGCTCTCAGCAAGCACAGGTTGAGTTGAGCCCATTCCAGGAGGCGCTCTACCAGAGCAAAGAGACGCTTTGAGGAGAGGCCTCCCTGGCAATTTATTTAGGACACCACAGACATGTTGTCTGATCGGATTAGCACATGGTGCCCCTTTAGGACTGGCAGGAAGAACTGACAAGCTCGACAAACTCCCAACTGAAGCACTGGCGATGCCGCCGCCATGAGGCCCAGCATCCTCTGAAACGCTTCAAGAAGGCGAGTGGTATCAATCTCGAAGGAGGTCGCCAGCCTCCGTATGGCCAGAGCCTGTTTCGGCGCGACTAAAGCTCTCATTTGGTCGAAAATTGTTCCCAGGAATGATATTCGCTGGCTGGGGAACAACGTGTTCTTGGCAAAATTGACCCTGAGTCCCAGGCACTCCAGATGGCTGAGGAGGAGGGTCCTGTGTGATATTAAATCTGCCTCCGACTGGCGAATGCGGATTCCCATCTGTCTCAGAGGGGAGAGAGCCGCGTCCATGCACTTCGTAAAAGTGCGGGGGGCCAGGGACAGCCCGAAGGGAAGGACCGTATATTGATAAGCCACTCCCTCGAACGCGAATCTCAAGAATCGCCTGTGACGGGGGGCTATCTGGATGTGAAAGTATGCATCCTTCAGGTCCAGAGAAAAGAACCAGTCTCCTGAGCAAATTTGCGCAAAGATCTGTTTCAGTGTAGTCATCCTGAACGATCTTTTCATGAGGGCGTGATTCAGGTGTCTGAGGTCAAGGATGGGCCAGAGGCCACCATCTTTTTTGGGGACGAAGAAGGAACGGCTGTAGAAGCCTGACTCGCTCTGGGCTGGAGGAACCTTTTCTACAGCTCCTTTTGCCAACAGATTCATCACCTCTGAGCGCAGGACGTGAGCGTCCTTGCTTTGTACTAAGGTGGGGACAACGCCGCTGAAGCACGGGGTTTTTGAGCAAATTGGAGTGAATCTCCTTGTTTTATTATCCCCATAATCCATCTTGACACTCCGGGGATGGCCTGCCAGGCCTCGGCCTGCGTGGCGAGGGGTTGAATTAACTCGGGTATACATATTACAAAATGTCAATATCCAAATAGTCTTGGAAGAAAAGAACCAGTCTCCTGAGCAAATTTGCGCAAAGATCTGTTTCAGTGTAGTCATCCTGAACGATCTTTTCATGAGGGCGTGATTCAGGTGTCTGAGGTCAAGGATGGGCCAGAGGCCACCATCTTTTTTGGGGACGAAGAAGGAACGGCTGTAGAAGCCTGACTCGCTCTGGGCTGGAGGAACCTTTTCTACAGCTCCTTTTGCCAACAGATTCATCACCTCTGAGCGCAGGACGTGAGCGTCCTTGCTTTGTACTAAGGTGGGGACAACGCCGCTGAAGCACGGGGTTTTTGAGCAAATTGGAGTGAATCTCCTTGTTTTATTATCCCCATAATCCATCTTGACACTCCGGGGATGGCCTGCCAGGCCTCGGCCTGCGTGGCGAGGGGTTGAATTAACTCGAGTGACTGGCCGCACGGGGGCAGAACACTTGTGAGTAATGGAAGAGGAAGTTTGCTCTCTTTTTGAAAATGTTTGTGTTTTTCCCGCTATAACAGCAGCTGAATGCTTGGGCGCATAAACGGACCCGTTTTTTGCACAAAACACAATTCCCTCTGCACCCGGAGTTGAACGGGGTGTCAAGAGGTCTAAGAGAGGATGCTTGAGGAGCGGTCCGGCCGTAGCGAGATCTGGCCCTGTCCTCTTCCTGTCTTGCAGATCAGGATGACGCCTGAGGCGCCGGGTCCAGCGCAATCTTGGGTCGGGGTCCCTGGCACTTAAGAAAGAGGGTAGAGTTTGGCCGAGCGAGAGTGTCCCCGCGTCTGCTGTGCCTTAGCGGGCTGAACAGCGGGGGCGGCAGGTGCTGGCTTCGCGGGCTGCTGAGTCGGCTCAGAGTTAGGGCGAGCAGAGGCAGCAGCGGAGCTGGAGCGCTTAGGCAGGAAATGTCGCATAGCCTAGGACGATTTTTGTGCCTCCGTAAAGAGCGCTCGGTGAATCCTTTGACCACTGGTCCGAAGAGACCCTTGGGAGAGATAGGAGCATCGAGGAAGGGGATTTTATCCGCATCCTTGATCTCTGTTAACATCAGCCACAAATTGCGCTCGAGCACCACAAGGCTGGCCATCGATCTCCCGATCGCCTGAGCGGTGGTCTTGGTGGCGCGCAGAGCCAGGTTGGTTGCACTCCCTGAGGGTCACGGGGTCCAGGCCAGACTTGTCAGAGGAAGCAAGAATCTTGGAAGACCTGGAATACCGCCATTGAATGAAGCGCCGAAGCCACCTGTCCAGCTGAAGTGTAGGCGTGTCCAGCGAGAGCTGAAGTGGTCTTACACGGCTTGGACGGGTGAGCGGCCTTTGCTCTCCAACCGATAGCCGTGGGCGGGCAGAGGTGCGCGGCCACTGACTCATCCAGGAGAGGCAGCTTATCGTACCCCTTCTCTTCAGCTCCGTCAATGGAAGTGCGGGCGGAGTAGGGAGCGCGCCATGATCTGGTGAGCTCGTCATGGACCTCCGGGAAGAACGGAGAGGAATGCTGACGAGGGGCTTGGCGGCGCCCCGGCAGGAACTGCTCATCCAGACAGCTGCGGGAGGGCTCCTCCGGCGGAGACCACTCTAAACCCAGCATTTCGACCGCTTTCGAGAGGATACGGAGAAGCTCGGCATTCATCCTGTCTTTGACAGCGCTGGGCGCCGATGATGGCGAGGGGGTGGGGTCAGTCACCGAGCCCATCAGCTCCTCTGTGTCCCATGCTGTTAATGACATGCTGTCATCAAGCAGCTCATCCTCACTTCCCCCAAATGAAATCAGGTCGCTCGCACCAGCAGAGGGACGCTGATCAGCCTGGGAGAAAGGACGGGAGAACACTCTCTCTGGGGCGAGAGCGAGGCACGAGGGATCTGGGCCGACGTGAGCTCGCTCGCAGCCGGTTGCTCGAGTCCTCTGCCCCGCTGTTTTTTACTCACAGGTCCCTGGGAGGAAGAAAACGGGAGGGCGCAAGTGGGCGGAGCCGCTCTCTGAAAAGAAAGCGAGCCGCAAGTGGAGAGAGGCGAGACTGAAGTTCTCGCAGTGAGAACAATCAGTTCCCGTGAGTGCAGCAACGCCAAGCTCTTTTAGTAGCTCTTTTAGTATCGGTGGATGGCGGCAGGGGAAAAGGACCGGAACTGCTGCGTTGCTGAAGTGGCGGAGAACCAGGTTAGCCGTACTGAGAGGTCCCGATTCAGCGTAGAGGCGTAGAGACGTAGAGTCATTGCTGAAGGAGAATAAATCCTGTGGCAAACATATATACATATATACTTATATAGCCAGATGCCCCGCCCATTCTGGCGGGCTTTGGTGGGCTTCGTCGCCATAGGCTCATGCAGCTCCGCTGCCGAGCCATTGGTTCGTTTTTAATACACTGCACGAACCAATAGCCTTGCAGTAGGAAAAAAGGCTTTTTTTCCCATAGCATCTTAAGCAAGACGCAGTACAAGTGTACTATCGAAAGGGAACTAGGTTTATCATCATCAACTGGAGTCATCTGTTAAATGATCATATATCAGTGCTGTGATAGGATGGATAACTGAAGGTAAACAGTAGTGTTGTGGTACCTGGTATGAGAGCATCTTTCCTGCAGTCATACAGCATGCCCAGATGGAAGGGTCTCCCTAGAGCTGCTGTCTCAATCACATTCACTCCCACTGTATCCATACTAAACACACCAAAACACACAGCAGTTACTGATACGACATTTCATTTTTTAGTATTACTTTTCAGAATACAACATCTAAATGGATTTGACTCGAAAAAATTATTAAATAAAAAAGTAAGTGAATAAACTATGACCAGCATGTTTGCTGATAATGAATACTGTTCTTCTAAAACACTTACATTTAGCTTTTTTTTGAAAGTCAATAGAAGTTTATATAAGAGTTAAGGTTTGGAGGATTCATAGACCTCACAGACAGAATAGTTTTTATAAGTCATCTATAGATAGTTTATGTATTTAATAATTGTATAGTTGTATTATTATTATTATATATTTAATAATTGTATTGCATAGTTGACAATAATTGTATTGTCAAGAGTGGAAGATTATTTTATTAATGTATTAGCAGTTTAATTTCTCTCAATTCAGCACAGTAAATTTAGCTTAAACTTCCTAGTTAGAGGTTTGTTTATTTATAGACCGAATTTTGTGAAAAGAAATGAAAAGGGAACACACACAGTCTGTTTGGACAATAGAAGAAGTTGAGAACATGAACCCCCCCCAAATCTTTATTTTTAACTGTAATATTTTTCTCACCTTTAAACTGGTCTGTTAGTTTCCTCTGAGGTGGAGAATGAACTCAATGTTCACCTTTCACAAGTCAGGATCCGGTCAGACTAGAAACAGAGACACAGTGTTCTAACATTTAACTGCATTTAACACATGTTTACTTCTTTTAAAATATATTATATTATTCGGGCTGGCATTCATCAGATATAACATGTGTATTATAGTTTTTATTAGAAAAATTACATTAAATAAAACGTTAAATAAGCAAATCGTATTACCGTCTGGAAAGCTGCTTCTAGATTCGTTCTCACCGTATAGGCAACTTTAATTATTCTCTAATTTCTAGCTTTTAATTGGCTTAGAAATCAGATAACTGCTGGACAATAACCAGTAATAATCATTTGTTTATATGCTACACTCTTAAAAATAAAGGTGCTTCACGATGCCACAGAAGAACCTTTTTGTCTAAATGGTTCCATAAAGAACATTTAACATCTGAAGAACCTTTCTGTTTCACAAAAGCTCGTTTGTGGCGAAAGAAGGTTCTTCAGATTACAAAAAGGTAAGAAAGAGATGGTTCTTTAAAGAACCTTCGACTGAATGCTTCTTTGTGGAACCAAAAATGGTTCTTCTATGGCATCGCTTGAAGAACCTTTTGAAGCACCTTTATTTTTAAGAGTGTACAAACACTTTTTTATCACATAATAAGGCAGAATAGTTTCTATACTGTAATAAATGCTATGTCAGTTAGCACTGCATTGTTCATATACTTTATTTATTACCCGGAGATGACTTGACAAACACAAATAAACCATATTGTCGCAATCGTATGTTTAATGTCTTAATGTTTCCAAATGTTTCTGTTTTTCTGAAAACAACTGTTTTCATACAGCGATAGCTGGACGCTTTTGTCCATATTAGGGATTTCCTCGTACGACTTTCTGCGCGAGAGCGCCTCCGGGTTCGAGTATGAATGAAACACACACTGCACGAGTGTTTAGCGCTCCGTGATGTTCATCTCGCCTTATTTTGGGTTCGAATAAAACATCAGATCCTGCACAGACTATCCTGTCTCTTTGAATTTAAATCTATATTTATTCACACCGGCTCTTGAAAACCTCTATGCAAACACACTTCCCCTAAAAAGTGCCCCCCGTGCCCCCCGTGAATAAATATGAGACGAATTTACGTGATATTAAAAGTGGAGGGGACACGTCCCCCGTGTAATCTACGCCCCTGAGTTTGAGCACTACAGTTCAGGTCAAAATGATATCCATTGTGTGTGCTTGTGTGATATCCATTGGCTCGCCACTTCGAATCATATATGTTCTTACTCCGCACATATTAAACGTCGTTGAAAGTGTGCAGTTTTCTAGTGTATTTTCTTCTCAGGTAATATTTGTATGACCCATTTCAGATGTGGCCAATTACAACAACAGTGGTTAAATATAGCCTACACATTTAAAAAAATCATAGGTCAATTTTGATCAAAGTTATTGCTAGGGACAATTTAGTAGTTGCTGGATATTATGGGCATATGTCTCTGCTAAATTAGTGTACTGCATCTCAATGTGGTAGTCCAGTTGCACTGCAGCAGGTAAGAGAGGAGAATCAGCACAGCCCAGAAACTCACTGGCTGCTCTCTGTCCTCTCTGGAAATCATCACTCGCTCCCGTGATCTCTCAAGGGCCAAGCACATCATCAAGGATCCTGTAGCAACTCATTGTGTGTAATAACTGCACACAATGTAATAAGTATTACTTATATTATTGTAATAAAATGTAATAAAATGTTCATTTTTGTATTTTGCTCAAAACATAATAAAATCTTGAGCTCATAATGTAATAATAATTTTTCAATGTAATAACAAATTTTCACAATGTAATAGGTTATTGTATGATAAATGTATTACATTATGAACACACTGTGGCAACTTATAATGTAAATCACAGTTCATGAGGTAATACCAGCACATCATTTAAAACAATGTTTACAATATAATAATTCTCTTTCAACATAATAAATTTGAGCACAAAATTTAATAATAGTTTTATGTAAAATAAGCTATTACATTAAGAAAATTAAGCTTGTTAGGCTACATTGTGAACTTATTTTTTTTTATAAAAAGCTTACTAATTTTAGATATACTTCATCATTTTGTCGCATTGACCCAGAAACACATTTTAAGTTTTATGCACCAAATTAAAAAATACAGTTTCCGCTCTCTAATTATGTAATTATATATAATGTCAAACGATTAATCGCAATTTAATCGCATCCAAATTAAACGGTTTTGTTTACATAATATATGTGTGTGTACTTTGTATATTTATTATGTATATATAAATACACATTTTAAGAAAAATGTTAAATTTATATATAACATATTTATATATGATATAATTTATATAAATATAAATATATACATGTAATTACAGCTTATAGGCACAGAAATGATGTGTGGGGCTCTCTAATTATGTAATATATATATATATATATATATTAATGCTGTCAAACGATTAATCGCAATTAATCGCATACAAAATAAAAGTTTTTATTTACATAATATATGTGTGTGTACTTTGTATATTTATTATGTATATATAAATACACATTTTAAGAAAAATGTTACGTTTATATATTATATATATGATATAATTTATATAAATATAAATATATACATGTAATTACAGCTTATAGGCACAGAAATGATGTGTGGGTTGTAAGTTGTACTTTATTTTTCAACATATTTTCTGTTGTACATTTCATGTTATAGCTTGTATTAAAGTGAAGAAATGTTAATTTAACTTGTGCTCTGTGCTGCCGTTGCCTGAGGTAGGTAACACGATCTATCCCAGACTACATTAGACTATGGAAACTTTATTTGTTTTTTTCCTAATTTGTTCATTAAAAAATGCCTTTAATTCAAGGACGTATAATCTAGTAGGGGTGCAACTGAATTGTTCCTAGCAATAATTTTGATCAAACAATTAAAATATATTTATATGTAACCAGTGTTCGAATTGTGTCGAAACTCTTGCGGGTCCCCCTATCCAGCCAACCCCCCCACCCTAAGATAAAAGATTATTTTACGATGATCAGTGAATTAGGTGTACCAAACAATCACTAAGCAAAGAAGAATTAAATATCTAGCCTAGGGGTGTGCGATATTGACAAAAAATTATATCTCTATATGTGACCCTCTCTGTGAAATCCAGGCTAAAGTCTCAGAATCTAATTATGAGATAACAAGCATCAAAGTTTGATTTCAACCATTGATTTCAATCTTTGACATGGTCTTACTCCATCAGTAATAATGATATCAATGTTACATTTTAACAGAATGTTCTTTACCTTATGAAGGATGATTTTTATATAGAAAACAGTAAATCACCAAGAAATGACTTTAGCTGGGCTTTCACAGACAGGGTCACATATTTTCTGGGATTTTATCGGTAACGATCAATAATCATTTTTTTGCTGAGTGTGCTGCACTGCAGGACTGCCATGGACAGCTGACTCTGTGTGGCCAGTTCACAGCAGTGATAGAAATTAATCTTTAAATTTAAGTTTAAAATGATTTTGACCCTTTATGGGCATTTTTACCTTTGTAAAGCCTTTTTTTTTCTAGAAGTGTGTCAAATTCTTACATTTAATCAATAAAGTAAATTACAATAATAACACATTTGGGGCTGTTACCAAACAAATAAAATCACTATCAACAAAATTCATTCAATGCAGAGGAAACCCAGAAGCTGCATCTGAAGTGGTATTTAGATGCATATTCACACTGTTTAATGCAAGGCATGAATGCTTTAACCTGCAGTTACAAATGCAGAAATAATGTTTTGATATTTTAATCTTAAAATGTTGAATACTGATGTTTGAAATGATTAAAAAATATATAAAAAGGCACTTTAAAATGTGAAATTAAAACCGCCAGTAGGTGGCAGCAAGTCACTCTTAATAAGTGATTCATTGCGATTGTACCGAATCACTTAAATGGTTGATTCATTCAGGAACGAAACAGTCATGTTTTTCAGAGACGCAAAACAGTGCTGTGGCTTTGTTTGGAACCATTTTTGTTGGTGAAATAGCACAAAAAATATGCAATATGGTGTCTACAACGTAAGTGTCTTAATATTAACTTCTTGTTTTTGAACTGTTGTATAAAATCAATATCACATTTGTGATTTTAGCAAAAAAAAAATGGCACTCTTCATGTGATATTGGTCAACTATATGAAATGATATAAATATGAATTTTCTGCCCCCATATCTTGAATTTTGGGAGCGTTCCAAATGCATTTTATGATACTGAATGAAAGAACACACTCTAAATGAGCATTCAGTCTAGCTAGCGTTTAAGCACTCATAACTCCTCTTATAAATCAATAAAGCTGTCCATGCACGGTATGATAAATTAATCTCTAACTTACATTGTACATACTGTACATCTGCACTTTGTTGCTCATGATGAGGGAATTCACGAGTTTGTGTCTGGAAAAAAACTTCAGTGGTTTCAGCGATGACTAATCTGGACGCCTCTGATTGGCTACTGCATTCCTAAACTCAACAGAATCGTGTGTGATTGGTTATATATCTTATCATATTATATATCATATTTGCATTTGCGCTCTGGAGAGCATCAGATGTTTCTATTTACAATGTTTGCAGCATTCAGCTGATAATCACAGACATGTCCAATTGAACCGATGAACTGAGATTAGTGACAGGCTCAGTGCATTTGAAATTATAAAGGGAGCACTCTTTGCACACATACTAGACTATCTGTAATGCATTCAGAATTTTAATAAAAGGTTTTTTTTTCATGATGCTAAGAGGAACAATGTCCCCTCACTAAAGTTCAGCTATAGTTTAGTTATTCTATATAAAAGCTAAAATGAGTCTCAGACGTGAACATATTTGCTTTGCTAAATCCATTCATGTACAAATTAATTCTAAAAAGAAATATATTTGAATATGAATGGATTAAGCAAAGTTAATATGTTAATTTCTGAGATTCATTTTGGCATTTATCTCTATACACATAGGCTAAATAACAGAACAAATATTTTGACTGTCCCTTATACTGGGCTGATTATACTTTATTATAAGTATAAGTATATACTTATATAATTACAATATGACAATATTTTTGGTCAGTTTATAATGTAATACGTTTCTCATAATGTAATAATTGTTATTACATTATGAGCTCAAGATTTATATATAAGATATATTATATATAATTTTATTACAATAATAATGTAATACTTATTACATTATGTGCAGTTGTTCCATTATGAGTT